TTTTTTTTTTTAATTTGTTTTTTCTCACTTTATTGCTTAACATTTGGCTTGTTCATGTCATGTCCATCATTTGCAACAAAGGTAACTGACCCTTCACTTCACATTTTCAATATGTTACTATTTTTTTATTTATTTTTTTATTCCCTCAACTTTCAACTAACCTATAGCTACTACTACTTAGCTTTCTTTTATGCATACTTTTCTTGCTCACAAGATCTTGTATCAAAAATCAAGAAATTTGTTTGATAAAATCTTGAGAGCCCATTTTCTTGATCTTAATATCTCTTCACTGTATATGTAACTATGCTTCTTGTGCTTACTCACCTCATGTGATCAATACACTTACCATTTTTCTCCTTAAATTATTAGTATTTCATTTCCTATGTTTTCCAGTTCAAGAGCTTCCTGATTTTTCGAACTTTTCCGAATCACCTTTCTTGATCTTCCATCCCCCATTCGTAATTTTCTCCGAATATTAAAAAAAAAAAAAATCAGCTCGACATATGGAGGATCATGAGAAAAATCACTCTTGCAAGCTGTGTGGAAAAGAATTCCCCTGTGGTAGGTCCTTGGGAGGCCACATGAGATCTCACATGATCCTCATTTCATCTTCGTCATCTTCTTCTCATCATCATCATCAGAAAAAACTCCGGCTTTTTTCTAACCGAAAACCCGTCAAGAATCCAAAGAAAGCAAACAAATCCTCAAGCCCAAGTGAAGAATATAATACTTCACTTCAAGAAAGTCCCTGCAAGAACAAAGGTACTTCATCTTCTCTAACCGATGCTTCGAATTATTCCCCGCCTGTTTCTGATATTATCAATCAGCGAGAACAAGAAGAGGTTGCTTTGAGTTTGATCATTCTTTCTCGGGACAAAGGCAATTGGGATTGCTCGGTTGATCCCATTTTTGAATTTTCGGACAACATGTTAGAGTTCAACAAAACAAGAAATGACTCCAAAAAAAGAAAATTAGAAGTCTTGGGTGATTCAGGGAAACAAAGTGAATTCAAATGCTCGGATTGCAAAAAGGCCTTCTCTTCGTACCAAGCTTTAGGAGGGCACAGAGCAAGTTACAAGAAGTTCAACGGCTGTTGTGGCCCGAGAAGTAATAAGGTTCCGTTTGGATCAAACAGAAGTAAAGATAAAAAGGCACATGAGTGTTCGGTTTGCTACAAAGTTTTCTCTTCCGGGCAGGCGTTAGGCGGGCACAAGAGGTCTCATTTGGTCTTAGCCGATCGTGAGGCCGAAAAGAACGATAAAGTTCGGACCTTTTTCGATCTGAACTTGTCTCCTCCTCAAGATGATGAAGAAGAGTGCAATGGTTTTGTTGAGCCTGCATTTGTGTATACATAGAAAATTAACTTGTTTTCAAGGGTGCATTTTGTAAAATATAGTTCAGGGGTGTTTGTAGCTTTAGAATGTAATTACTGGGTTTTCTGTAACTCTTTCACAGTTGGGCTTATCATAGGGGGAAAAAAAGATTAAAAAAATTAACTTGATTTTACATGTAAGAAGATCATAGGTAGACAAATACATCATCAAATATCATCCTAATTGTTACAGTTTTCATATGCAGTGTATGTGTGGCAAGTATTTACCTTTAATTTACCTTGTTTTGGACTGTGTAGGTAAAAAACTTGATAATTACTACATTTGAGAATTAAGGTCCTTTTGCTTTAATTCTTGTGGTGTAATAATCAAATTGACACTATGTATTTAAGTCATAGGACAGTTGGATGCATTTTTTTTACAGGAAAAAAAAAATGATGAGACAAAATTTTGTTAACTAAAGTTTGGTGGTTTTTGATTTTGTTTTGATATATATTAATGTCTACTAAATATTTGTTGAGAATACTTTTGATCTCATTTGATTTTAAGTCTCCTTTACCTATAGAGCATATATATAAGTTCTTGTGTGTGTTGGGCTTGGGCCACAATAAAAGAAAGCATCCATTTTTTTTTTTTGGATCCCCAAAAGGTTGTGCACTAGTTGCCAATAAAGAATCTTGGTTATCACTATGATGGCACGCCTTCATGTTATAAGCCTATTTATCAACATTTTTTATGATATTTATATACCACTTATATTCTTATTTATAAAATTATCTAAACAAGCAAAAAAATATTTCAATTATACCTGACATGTAAGATGTAACCGTATTACCTTTTTTATGGCATATTAAATGCTAATGAGCCCCTTAATTGAAATTAAATATGTACTAGAAGTTCAATCTCTCACTGCCAAAACCACCACACCGCCTACATCTCCTCTTTCTATGCAGATCTTCCATATCTTCCCTCCTCCTCTTCACCATTTCCAGATCCTCTTCCGATCTCCGCCATCTCCCCCCGCCCCAAGACAACACCATCCCTCGCGCCGCATTCACCGTTCGAGCCACCGCCACCTCCTCCGATCTCCCTTCCACCGCCGCATCCGCCTCAGCCTCGCTCAAACACCTACCAAACAAGACTTATTTGATAATCTAGACGAAGTAAAAAATTCAACTACTTTATTTGAAAAACTATCTAAAGAAACTTATGAGATAAGCTCGAACTTTTTCAAAAAAACCCGTCCTACCAAACGATGCTTATTTGAATACAAAAACTTATAAGCTAACCAAATAAGCTATAAATTAACCTAAATCTCACTTAAAATTTGATAGTATTCCTCATAAATCTAAAAATCAAGGTTTTAAATAGCAGACTAAAACGTTTATGACACTGTAGCTATAGCGGAGCTATAGCGGAGATTTAGTGGGATTTAGCGGCTAAATTGCACATGAATACAAATAGCGGCACGCTGCCAAAAAAAGTTATTTCTCAAATAGCGGCAACTTTAGCAAGCTATTTATTTCCGCTAAAAATATTACAAAGTCTCAATTCACTCAAATCCCAAATAAACATCAACATGAAATATAATTATTTTTTAAAAAATGGGAATGGATACACCCTAATAAAAATCATTTTATTTTTATTAATGGAGTTAGGATGGTGACCTTCAAATCCTTTTACCAATTCAATTCTCTATAGAACATTTGACCTTCAAATCACTCGGTTTTATCTATTATACGTGTGTGTTTGGCAGTTTAAAAGAAGGCCATGACCGAGTTTTCCAAATTTCAGGCAATTTCTCACCATCTTCTTCACCCACTCTCTTACCAATTCAATCAATCCTCTTATAAAATTCGTTCCTCACCCTAGAATTGATTGAGATTTTTCAGAAAGGGGCTCTTCATTTCTATCCAATACAAGTTAACCCCTCTTTAATCTTTCTTGAATTTACAGGTACCCTCACCAAGATTGTACCTTTTCTTCATTTGTAAGTTTCTCAGGTGAATTTGTTATGTGGGTTGTTCTTGTTTGCACTCTTTGATCATAAATTAGTTTTTTTTTTTTTTTTTTTTT